TGATGATGATGATGGTGGTGGTGGTGGTGGTGGTGGTGGTGGTGATAGCTGACAGTTGCTGAGTCCTTAACGTGCACCGGACGCTGAGCTAAGCACTTTAGTGGCCTGACTGAATCCTCACGGCAGCCCTGTCACTTGGTACCATCTCATCCCCGTTCGGCAGATGAGGAAACAGATGTACAACGATACCTTGTGCCAACTCCACCAGGCAGGAAGCCGGGCTTGGGACCAAGTTTAAATCCTAGCAGGGCCTCTGCCAGATGTGCGACCTTGGGCCAGTCACTGACCCCTCTTGGAGCTTCTGTTTCCCCTTTGGTAGAACAGAGTGGAGTCCCTGCCTGCCAGAGTGGCTGTGAAGAGGGCGCGAGGTCCTGCCAGCCATGGGGCAGGCGCTCAGTGAGCAGCCCCCTCTCCATTTTGAATCCCAAGGCACACCTGCCTGCCTGCCTGCCTTCCACATTTACTGAGCACTGACTCTGTACAGAGGCTACGCCAGGTACCAGGAATGTGACTGGGGGCAAGACAGCCCCAAGTCCCTGCCCTGAGCAGCCACTACCGAGCATGTGAGATCATGTGATGAGATGTAGGGCAGCCGGCTGGATGAATGCTGTGGGGGAAGAGAGGGGCTCAGCCAGCACCTGAAGTGGCCGCTGAGCTGAGAGCTGAGAATAGGATGTTACTTGGCAAGGTGGGCGGGGGAGAGGGACAGGGGAAAGGGGGGGGGGGGGGGTTAGAAAATGGGAATCGTGTGGGCAAAGCCCTGAGGCAAGGGGAACTGTGGCACATTCCAGAAACTAAAAGGAGGCCAGAGTGGCTGGAGCGGCAGGCAGAGGCCAGGCCTTCCAGGGCCTGGAAGGGTGTGTCAGGGGCTTTAATCTTTCCCCCAAAGAGAGCATGAAAGACTTCAGCAAGAGGGGGACAGGAACAGATTTGCATTTCAAAAAAAGTGGCCCTGGCTGCAGTTGTGACAAAGAGATGGGAGGAGGGAAGAGCTAGAGCCTGTGGGGAGCCCACAGAGGGGCTGTTGTCATCTTCCAGCCCCAAGAGAAAGTGGCCTGGCCTAGGCTGGTGGGCAAGGCAACCAGAAGGGGAGGCTTTGAACCTAGCCCCTCAGAGGAGGCACCTCCTCCTTGACTTCTGAGGTGCTCCCAGCTGGAAGATGAGAAGACACAGTGTGGAGAGAGGCCTCCGTGAGGAGGCCCACCCCGGGGCCAGCCTCCTGCAGCTCCAAATGTTTGGGTAGTCACTTCCTGTTTGCATAGCTGATCGACCAAAGAGCAGAGCTGGTTGGCTTGGGGCCTGTGTCCAGCCTTAGAACTTTCTCCAAGAGGAGAAATGAAGGGGCCCTTCTTTGTTTCACCCTAAAGTAACTCACTGTCTCCCACAGCATGACTACAGGAGCCACTACAAACATTGGGATAGCCCTTTGTGCTAGAAAAGGTGGATTTGTATCCAGGGCACCACTTAACCCTCACAAGAACTGTGCCAAGGTAGAGGTTTTATCCCCAGTTTACAGATTGTGGGGAGTGAGGCTCTGAGAAGTGAAGTAACATACCCAAGGTCACACAGCCAGAACATGGAAAAGCAAGGTCAGCCTGCCCCTACCACCTGTGCTCTTTCTTCCTCCCTTCCTCCCTCCCTCCCTCCTTTCTTTCTTTCTTTCTTTCTTTCTTTCTTTCTTTCTTTCTTTCTTTCTTTCTTTCTTTCTTTCCACTTTACCTTTTCATGTGTGTGGGCTCACAGTTACAAGATGGCTGCCACACCTCCAGGCCTCACGTCTGTGTCCAGGCATCAGAAGAAGGATGGGCAATGCTGAGGGTGGGGAGGATTTTCTTCAAGTGAGCTTTGACTTTGTTTCCAGGGAGAGACACCCCTTCCCCACCAGAACGTGCATCTCCATGTCCTGGGCCAGCACTGTGTCACATAGCTGCTCTTATCTACATACTGAGGCCCCAAACAAAACTGGGTTCTCTTGGTGAGGAGAAAGAGTGACACTGTGCTCAGGTCGCGGTGATTAGGAGATGGCTCTGTCACTCGCTCCCCTGCCCCTATAACAACATGCCCCCTAAACCACGCCCAGCCTCAGGAGGCAGACCTCCTCTGCCCGTTTTCTACGATCAGAGTTTGTGGGCGACTTGCCCCAAAGCTCTCCTTCTTTGAAGAAAGGAAAGGGCGGGGGGGTGGAACAGCCAAGGACATGCGTTGAACATCACGTGTGTACCAGGCATGATGTAAGGAACTTTCCCCATGTTAGTGCAGATGAGCCCCTCAACTGGCCTCAGAGAAAGGTATTATTAACTCCACTTGCTGGATGAGAAAACCAAGGCCAGACAAGCCAGGATCCAAGCCCCAGCCCAAAGAGCCCAAAGCCACATACCCCAGGCCAGTCTGGCAACTTCCACAAGTCCTCCTGGAGT